CCCTCTCTCTCTCTCTCGTCTGTACAACTACTCCCTTGTCCCACCCTCGTCCTTCATTCTTTCGGGTTCTCTGCGCGTTACGGTGTGAACATACTTGAGAGATCTCGCGCGACAAGGCGGTAATCGGTGGTGCAATCGTGAATCTCACAAACGAATCGTGTCAACGGCGCATCGAACGATGCTTGATTTAACATCTGTGAAAAGAAAGATACGCTCGATTCACTTGGCAAAGATACGATAATAATAATAAAAGGAGGAGAACACCGACTTACTGTCCGGGGGGGTGATTCGACGTAGGATCGTTTTTTCGTTTCTGCCTTTTGGTTGGTTAGTCGTTCGGTCCTTCGGGCGATCGGTCGATCGGGTATTGATACGCGCGTACGTCGAAGACGCTTTTACCTTTGAAAAATGATTCGATTGCCAGAGACGTTGTTCGTGACACGTTTCTTTAAAAAATGTTTACAACGGGAAACTGCGCGTTGGAGGTGAATTATTACGCGTTGCTCAACTCGCATTGATTGGCTATTTCTTACGAACTTTTCTCCAGACATTGTCGTCGTCGTCGTCGCTGTCGTTCTTATCGCCATCGTCGTCGTCGTCGTCGTCGCCGTCTTTCTCGTCGTCGTTGTCGTTTTCGTTGTTACGTTGCGTCGTCGTTATCGATAGTGGCTGTTTCATCAATGACATTTAAGAAAGAAAAAAAACGATTCGACTTGGAATCGAAAGATATACAGAGGATGAAAATTCGATCGAATCAGCAGATCGTGTCAGATACACGGATACGTAGGGACGTGTGTTCGTGGCAACGAAATGTCGTGGAAAACGTGCGTGGTGAAACGAAAGCGAAACGAAACGAAACGTTTCTCTGAAAACGTTCGACAGCTGTACGATTAGAGCGTAGTTTCGATCGTCGGGAGAGCGAAGAGCCACGTACGTTGACAAAGAAGAAGACGAGAGACAAGGTGAAGAATCGTACACGTAGAAGCTTCAACGTACTAGCGTATGTAAGCGTTACGAAGTTGCGTTAGCAAAGTTAGCTGTATCGAACACACGTATATGTACGTGCGTATACGGATAAACAAGATTCCATCGAAACGGTAAATTTACGCACGTAACGCTGACTCGCGTGTTCCGGCCGATCGATCGCTACTACGAGGGAGCGGTAAGACTAATTCTTTTCGAGGATTCTCACTTCGAATCAACGTATGCGTTTCTGTTTCTTTTCTCGAATAGAAGATCCGTTCGTTCGCGCACGTTCGTCGTTCATCGTTCGTCGTTCATCGTTCATCGTTCATCGTTCATCGTTCATTCGCACTCGGCTGCTCATCGACAGCGTTCAGAAACAATGTTTCTATCCTACGAGAAATTTCTGCACTACGGAGTGTTGTTGCTGTTATGGATCAAATCAAGTTATCAGCAAGAGGAGGACATACCTCACAACGAGTAAGCAACAACCGTAACTAACTTTTTCGACTCTCTTTCTTTCTCCGCCGTTTTTTTAACTTCCTCTCCGCTCTCCAGTCGTTGCAGTTTACATTTCCACAGTTGTAAAATGTCGTTGCGAAAAATGAAATTACTAAAAACGATCGATCTACCTTTGGTAGAGGTTAACTACGATAGGGGGGAGGGGGTTTGCTAACGAAACTAGGCAAACGTAGAATATTACAAATGGCAGGGGGCGTGGATGTTTCGAGAAAAGGATCGGTATTTTCGTTTCGTTTCGTTTCGTTTCGCACGTCGTTCGTAGCAGGACGATGGATCCAACTTTGAACAAAGTTGAAAATTATTGGAAATGTAAACTGCAACTGCAACTGCAACTGCAACTCCTTGCACTCCTTTCTCTTCGACGTGAAAAATATTTATAATTTTGTCCGCTACGATGGCGAGAGGGGATAGTAAAATATGTGTTCTTTCTTTTGTGCGTGTGTGCGTGTGTGGTGTGGCGAGAGAGAGAGAGAGAGAGAGAGAGAGAGAGAGTACGTCCGCATATATCGCATTGCATCGCATCAAAAGACAAACAACATGGCACTTTCAACGATTGTCGAAGGAAGGCAACGAAAATTAGAAAGAACGCAGGCGCGTGTAGAGTTACGCGTACACAGTCGATTAAGGAGAATCAGAATCGGCGTATACGCGTACGAGCTACGTGCGTGCGCACGTGAGCACGTACTTACGTTACTTACGCATGTACGTACGAACGCATCAATGGTGCTCATTTACACGTAAAGCTGCGTGACACGCGTATGTAGAACACGGCGAGCAGAACACAACCGACAATCGTCGATCTCGATTCAACCGATGGCGCATTTTACATTAAGCAGCGCATCCGCCTTCCACGCCTTTCCAGCGTTGCTTCGTGCTTTTTCCTCGTAAAACGTAATAATTCAACCGATAACCGAATATCGAGTTCCTCCCTTGGTCCGTTCAAACGATCACACCGTTTACCATTCGATGTCAGTCAAAGTCGAACGATTATCGTTCATTTGCCTAATATCGTCGACTCTTTCTATCGTGAATGACTTTGGCTTCTCTTTAGCTCTCTCGCTATTAGTTGGTCGGTAGTAGCAGTAGTACGTAGCAGACGAACGAAGGAAAAGCAGAAAGAAACGAGAGATACGATACGACAACATCAACGACAACGCGAAGAATTCGTCGGTAGAATCGAAACTCTGTAAAACGTGTAAAATTCGTTTAAAATTCGCGCTAGCGATACTCGTCAAGCGATACGCGTTATTTTTGTTGCGTTGCAGAGTGAAAAACTGGGCCTTAAAATTTGGCGTAGATCTGTGGGAATTTGGCAAACAAGTTACGAAAATGAGCGAGATACAACGGGTAAGCAAGCAAGCAAGCAAGCAAGCAAGCAAGCAAGCAAGCGCTCGTAGTAATAGCAACGCGGTACTGTTGGCGGAAAATTTCACACTTTTTTTACACACTTTGATTTCAGAAATATCACGACATGGAAGCTCAAGTTGTGAAAAAGGATGGACTCGTCTTAGTGCGAGAAATGGCTGCCGAAGTAAAAAATATGTTGGACTTTAAAATGAACGCTGTTATGGTGAGAGAGAATGATTTCTTATAAAAAAAAAACGAGATCACTGTACGCGTGCGTGTGTATGTGCGTGTGCGTGTGCGTGTGCGTGTGCGTGTGGGTGCGTGCGCGCGCGCGCGCGTGTGTGCATCGTTGATACGTACGTTTACAGAGGTTGGTAGAGAGTGCCGAACAGGCAGCTGTATCAGCACCCAGAGACGGAAGCGTAGCGCCAAAGTATCACGCTTCTCAACGTTTCGACGTTTCTTCGGTGGATGGAAAGACGTTGGGAACGGAGGGACAGGAGAGCTTTCTCTCTTCCAATCGACACTTTGATCATTTGGCCGTGAACGTTACTTTTTCGGCAGTTTTGTTACCCGCCGGGGTAAGAGAAGTTGGTAAGTTGGTAAGGCGATGTCGACGAGACACTTACCGTCACAGACAGACAACTGACGTGCCTTGCTTCTTGAAATTGGGAGTTTAAATTTTGATTCGCCTTGCAGATCGCGAGGTAGCCGCTGGTATTCAATGGAGCGAATACTTGGACCTATTGTTCGTTAATAATTACGAGAGCGACTCTTCCCTCTCCTGGCAATACTACGGGGCGACTTCGGGATTCTTGAGACGTTTCCCCGGTACGCGCATTTCTTTCGTCC